ATCGGCAAAGCAAGAGCAGCATATTTGCAACTGAAGAACATCTGGAACTCAAAACAACTGTCTTCCACCCAACACCAAGGTCATAATTTTTGATACAAATGTCAAAACAGTTCTACTTTGTGGGGCGGAAACCTGGAGAACTACGAAAGCCATCATCCAGAAGATACAAGTGTTTATTAACAGCTGTCTACGCAAAGTACTTCGGATCCGTTGGCCAGACACTATCAGTAACAACTTACTATAAGAGAGAACAAACCAGAAACCAGCGGAGGACGAAATCAGGAAGAAGAGCTGGAAGTGGATAGGACACACATTGAAGAAGGCATCCAACTGCATCACAAGACAAGCCCTCACATGGAATCCTCAAGGCCAAAGGAAAAGAGGAAGACCAAAGAACACATTACGCCGGGAAACGGAGATAGACATGGGAAAAATGAACAAGAATTGGCTAGAATTAGAAAAGAAGGCCCAGAACAGAGTGGTTTGGGGAATGCTGGTCAGCGGCCTATGCTTCATTGGGAGTAACAGGCGTAAGTAAGTAAGTAATGTTTAAGTCAAATTTCTATGTCTGGGCCTTGTTCACTAAAACTTGTAACCATATCGAGGTGAACACACTTGAATAGGAGATAATGTTATCTCAAAGTCGAAATAAGGAAATCAAAGTTGATAAGGAGTGCATTTGAAACGAAATCTGTATTCAATGAACTTAAGTTAAAAATTGAGAGAATTTTATTTGTATCTGAAAAAGCAACAGTTTTTGTGAATGAGCAAATACTAAAACCCTTGAAAACTTAGTTTGCATCACAAATTTAAAACATCATCCAGAGAGAGCTGCAGATAACTAATGGACATCAATGAATTGCTTCTTCCTAGTTCAGAACATTTTAAAAGCTCACACCTCAAGTTATTGTAAAAGATTCTGCATGGAACTGTCAGGTTTTTAATTTCCGCTTAATCTTGAACCGTAGTATTTCCTCTTACTATTTGGCCTTGGGGATTCCATGTGAGGGCTTGTCTTGTGATGCAGTTGGATGCCTTCTTCAATGTGTGTCCTATCCACTTCCAGCTCTTCTTCCTGATTTCGTCCTCCGCTGGTTTCTGGTTTGTTCTCTCTTATAGTAAGTTGTTACTGATAGTGTCTGGCCAACGGATCCGAAGTACTTTGCGTAGACAGCTGTTAATAAACACTTGTATCTTCTGGATGATGGCTTTCGTAGTTCTCCAGGTTTCCGCCCCACAAAGTAGAACTGTTTTGACATTTGTATCAAAAATTATGACCTTGGTGTTGGGTGGAAGACAGTTGTTTTGAGTTCCAGATGTTCTTCAGTTGCAAATATGCTGCTCTTGCTTTGCCGATCCGCGCCTTCACATCTGCATCAGATCCATCGTGTTCATCAATGATGATGCCCAGATATGTGAAGGTTTCTACATCTTCCAAATCTTCTCCGTCAAGTGTGATTCGGTTGTTGCATGCTGTGTTGTATCGGAGAATCCTGCTTTTCCCTTTGTGTATATTGAGACCTACTGCTGCCGAGGCTGCTGCCACATTGTTCGTCTTCTCCTGCATTTGTTGTTGCGTTTGGGATAGAAGGGCCAGATCATCTGCGAAGTCTAGATCGTCCAACTGCATCCTAGATGTCCATTGTATCCCGTGCTTCCCTTCAGACGTTGACGTCTTCATGATCCAGTCGATCACCAGGAGAAAGAGAAACGGTGAGAGTAAGCAACCTTGCCTAACACCGGTCTTCACTTCGAACGACTTAGTCAACTATCCTTCATGCACGATTTTGCAGTTTAATCCATCATAGGAATTCCGTATGACATTGACTATCTTCTGAGGCACGCTGTAGTGTTGAAGAAGCTTCCACAGTGTTGTTCTGTCCACGCTATCAAATGCCTTTTCGTAGTCAATGGAGTTGATGTATAGTGATGAATTCCATTCAATCGATTGTTCCACAATGATCCGTAGAGTTGCGATTTGGTCTGTACACGATCTATCCTTACGGAATCCTGCCTGTTGGTCACGAAGTTGGGCGTCTACACAGTCCTTCATTCTGTTTAACAACACCCTATTGAAGACTTTTCCTGGTGTTGAGAGAAGAGTGATGCCCCTGTAGTTATCACAGTTGCTGAGATCGCCTTTCTAAGGTATTTTGATCAGAAGTCCTTCTTTCCAGTCTGTTGGTAGTTGTTCCTCATCCCAAATCTTATTGAAGAGAATGTGGAGTATCCTTGCAGTTGCCGCTATGTCTACTTTTAGTGCCTCTGCTGGGATGTTATCTGGTCCTGCTGTTTTGCCACTCTTGATTTGTCTGATGGCCATGCTGATTTCTTCAATTGTTGGTGGGCCAACATTGATTGGGAGGTCCGTGGGTGCTGCTTCGATGTTGGGTGGGTTCAGTGGAGCTGGTCGATTCAAGAGTTCTTTGAAGAGTTCTACCCACCTGTTTTGTAGCTCTTCAATGTTGATGATTACCTCGCCTTCCTTGCTTTCCACTGGTCGTTCTGGTTTGCGGCGATTTCCAGAGAGTTTCTTTGTATTTATGAAATCAATTGAGTGTACTGCGCATTTTCAATCTCAACGTGATCATTAAGAGACACATTAGATATTTTATTCAGTTGTAAATTTACACAAATCCAAACGGTCGAAAAAGAAAGTTGATTGTTAACTATTTTAACAGCATCGTTGTTCTAATGAAATAAATGAGATAGTCTTTTATCGGTGAAACCATTCTAACTGCAATTCACCCAACTTAATAAAGTTTAACTGTTAACGTAGCATCACTGCCCCCAAAAAGATTATTTTGTGTGAAGGGCATCATACGAATACATCAGTGAAAATTTACTTAGCTATTTGGATTTTAAACCGACATTCCAGCCCACCAGTCTCTATTTACGTAGCATCTAAACGAGCAAGAGTTGGCAGTCTGCTCAAGCTCTTGCATCACAATTTTCCTAAATGTCCATTTATAGTCATGAATTTTCTTATCTCATATTTTTTAACTAACTAATTGTTTATTAATCTTCTGTACGTCAACATATTCAGGAAGTAATTATGACTAGTCGAGTATTTAATTACTAATTAAGTGCCCCCATCATGGCTAGTGTATTTTTCCCTGATTGTTCAATCGAGAAAAGAGAGACGATTACAATAGAACTTATATATCAAATACATAAGGCGATGAAAAATTTGTCATGAGATCAGAACTGATAGTAAGCATTTACGGGTGAATATGGATGGCAGTTAATCACTATCCAATGATTTTCTACAGATATTTTTTTGAATATTCATAAGGTGAAGGTTTAGAAAATAAGTTCGTTGTTGCAAATTTGCATATTTCATGGCGCAAATTACTTATTGTGATCAAATAAATAGTATTAAACGAAACAATTATTATCGTTATTGCTACCATCTGTTTGTAGGCTACAAATAGAATGAAAAAATGGACAGTGACTAAAATAACAAAACATATAAAAGATGTGTCGTAAAATTGGGATGAAACATGTATTTTATCATGTTTAATCAAGATATAATTACACTTCCTAGAGAGAGACCCTCATGAGAACATTAACACTATAAATTTATTTGAACTTAGATATATTAAAGTTGAATAATTGTGCCACGGTACAAAATGAATAAAAACTGGAACCAGTAAGTATCATTACAGTAGTAGAAAAAAATAAAATTGATGAACGGGCCGCTTCTGAATGGTTCAAATTATTACAGGGTAAAGTAAAACTATACATTAAAAGAAAGTATTTTGACAAAAATGATAATATTAGGCTATTCAAACTAAGGTCAGAAAGCGTATTATCGAAGAGTTTATTTATTTAACAGGTATTTCGGTGCAGTGATTACCATCATTATTGTTGGGCCTTCTTTTTATGAGAACTAACATCACTGGTTTACAAATAAAATAGAACATTTCATAAATATGCAACAGCTTAATTCACTAGGTTTAAAACTGTCACAAAATCTAGGAATAAAATGATAACAACTAAAGATCTAACTAATAGTAGATTAAATGGTTTTTAAAACTAAGCATAGAGAGCATATTTCTAAAGTAAAGAGTAAAGTAGAGAAATAAGAGATGTCATCATGTTATAACTCTGTTGGGATATTCAGGAAAATATCCCAGAAATTATCCTGTTAAGCCTAATGCTAATCCATTGGGGTTTCCCCGCGTGGGTTCGAATCCCATCCCCGTCGCCAATTGTTATAACGTGAAAAATAATTGCTGCTGATTGAGGGATAGCGAATTATTGATCGGACCAAAGACGCACAAACGCGTAGAACGACCTAGGGTTCTGATTGGTCTCGCTTCCCTGTATAGCCCAGCCAGTTGAGTCCAGAACGAAAGTCTCAGCCTCGGATATATGAATCGGTTGGATTTGCAAAAGCCGCTTTTGTGACCAACTTTCTGACAGCGATCGCACACATGCTGTTTGAATGGACAGAACTTCACATAATGCCAGGCTCCACAGTGCCAACATGGCGAGGGGGGTTTCTTCTGAACCGGTTTAGAGTGATTAGAGATAGAAACAGCGCTGGCGTTCGAAGGACTCGAGTTTGTCGATCTCGAAGATTTTTTTCTGCTGCTCCTGACCCCATAAACGATTTTCATCTACGGTTCGTGTTCTGATATATTGGAGATTGGGAACAGTATTGGGGTCGAACTGGGATATCTGAAGCTAGTCAATCGGTAGAATTTAGAGTAGCCAACTCGCGATTCACAATAAACTCAAAAATCAGTAGAGGGTAAATAATTAATGAATTTTTGCTATCAAGACCGACTGAAATATTTCGATTAATTCTATCTATAAATGATGACCACCATATACATTCTAAACAGTAAGTTTGAGCATCCTAGCACTTATCAGATTAAAACCTACGATATATATAAGCCAAGAACAATATTTTGAGGCAAGATGCCTTTACTTGACGCATTTTAATCTTCGTTGGTGTACAAAACGTTTATAAAAGCTAGAGTAGTACTCACGAGCTTGTGCATAACATTCGACAAAGAGCACGTGCTGCATTTAAATCAAAACCGTCGGCACATATTGTACCCCATTGATTTGTTTGAGGATGTTTTACCTCTACTCGGCCAGCGTTGTTTGTTCCATCTACCAAACGAATAGACGAGTAATCAGAAGAGTTACCTGAAAGTTTCACAAACACATTTTATTATGAAAAGGCTGTGTAAGATGACACACGAAACAGAGTAATATGATGTACTCGTCTAAAAGGAAACCTACAAATAAATACATATCAAACTGGATAATGATAAAATACAGCTGCTTTGGTTGATTAAATGTTCAGTTGTTAAAATGCAGACAGCTTACTTATAAAATAACTAGCTACCTCGTATGATATGCTGTTCTGTAGTGTTTGTACTAGCTGATAGTATTTTTGTGTTTGATTGGGTGTTTATCACGAATTCTAAATAAAATACGTTCGGTTGTGCTCATCTAGTTCCAACTGCCTTAAATTGGACTATTCTGAGAACACTTAGCTAGCAAATCAATTCGAATACTTCCAATTATCATATATTCATAGACAAATAAACCAACATAACGAAACACAGACGTACATTGATTAGAGTTTCATGGCCAAAGTATCTAGAAGTTAGTGGCGCCTCGTAGGTAAAGCTAAAAAGACTACGTATCAAGGGTCGCCGATACCAAAAAATATGATTTGGGGAAAGTTCATGAAACACCACTAGTAGGACATGGTATCTAAAAACTGACGGTTACGATATGGACGGTATAATGCACACAACTAAATCTTGTGGTTAATTCTAATGATATAAACTTAATACTGAATGGCTAAGTAGTGATGCGTTTAAAGCCAGCTTTAGATGACATATTTTTTATCTGGGAGATGCCATTTGCTTTCGAAAAGTTGAAAATATCCATTACTTGTGATTATCAATAGGAACGAAGCGGAGGTTGATAGGTTTTTGCTAATTAGCTCCGTATTTACAACAGAATATTGCAGGTTCTCAAAGTGGACCACAAACTTTATCCCAACGTTTTTAGAACCAAAAAACACAAAAAACAAGATGGATTTGATACTTACTAGTTGATTACTATAGAAGTTCTATTTTTGGTTATGCAGATATTTTTTGTATTAAATAGTATGTAACCGTTATAAAATGATGTTACCAAGTAATAGTATTAAGTTTAGAACTATTTAATTTAGCAACCATACTCACATTTCAAGGCACTTACAGTTAACTGGAGCCAACGTCATATAGTTTGGAGCTGGAGTAGTTGTAGTTGTCGTCTCAGAAGGGTCTAGACAAACTATTGAAGTCTGGCGATTATTTGCCAGACAGGTGGAGGGAAGCTCGGTTGTAAAGGAACAAACGCCTAAATGTGTAGTGGCAGTGCTAAGAGGGCCAGATGTCAAAAGTACTCTTCCAGTGCAATTAAATTCCGACAACAGAGGAGACGAATTGGGACTTCGACGAATGCTGTTCAATATAGGGACACCGCGAGGTGGACTGAAAATAACTAGAGAAACACTTACAGCCCAAGCATAAAGCATGCAACTGACGCCGCCAGTTCGTCGAACCCAATGTTGCAAATAGTTCCCCAAGTACCGTTGTAATTAACTTCCAAAACACCATCACGCCCTTCAGGATAAAGACTGGTTTTAGGAGCCAAGCGTATAGCTCTGATTCCACCAACTTCTGAAATACATTGTTCACAATTTCCTATCGTCTACTGTTTATACCTGTCTGGGCATTAGAAGTCAGGAAACAGGAAATAAAGCTGAATACGAACAAGAACATATGCATCCCTTCGAAATACCGCCTTCTGTTGCTACAAGAGAAAATGTGAAATACTATACGAAAAAAGCAAAGGTCAAACCAATCGAGTGGAATATATGTTAAAACCTCTAAGCATCTTTTGTCTTTTAGTTGAGCCATTATGTGCTGAATTGTTCACTCTCACTTGATTTCGTGCTCTAACATAGTTTTGGATCATTTGTAGACGCTCAATACATATTAGAGAATGCCAAGTAATTTGAATAACTAGAAAGAATATGTTTATACACAACAGGAAAGTATAATCACTCATATTTTACCAAACAATAACGGAGATCAACATACAGATATCCGCAGATCACACTCTCACATCATGTACATCACTTACTTTAACGTTGGCCTTTTACTCATCGTGGAGGAGCATAAGCTTTTCACCAGCACTCTCCATTCAACCCTGTCCTGGGCAATCCTTTCCAGCTCTTTCTAGTTGTTATTCATTCTTTTCACGACTTCTTCTTTTTCCCGACGTAATGTGTTATTTGGCCTTCCACTTTTCCGTTTCCTCAGGATCCGAAGTCAGCGCTTACCGCGTGATGAAGTTTGATGATTTCAGTAATGTATGTCCTATCCATTTCTATCGTCTTTTCCCAATTTACTCTTCAGCTGGAGGATAGTTTATTTTCTCCCACAGTAGGTTGTAGCTGATGGTATCCGGCCAATTGATTTTGAGTATCTTGAGTAGACAACTATTTATAAATACTTGCACCTTCTTGATGATGGTTATAATAACTCTGCAAAATTAGGCTCCGTTCAGTAGAACTGTCTTTAAGTTTGCTTTAAAAATTCTGACTTTGATAGTGGTTGACAGTTGGTTCGAATTTCATATGTTCGTCAATTGTAGGAATGCGGCCACTGTTTTGCCAATCCTCGCATATTTTACTGGGAGAACCCAATTAGTGGATGTGGCGATTATATTTGATATTCAAACACATATTCTTTACTGAATCGTCGAGTTACAATCCTAAGTGTAGACAATTTTGGGGAAACGAAGCGAGCACATGTTGTGCTCAGGTCAAATGAAAGTTTTTAATCGAGAGTAATATGTTCCTTTCGTACAATGTTTTTTTCTACCATACTTTCTAGCTGTCAAACACATTGTGGTCTCGAGTAAAGTAGAGATGTAAAAAGTGAGTGCCCAATTGATCAAAATAGAGACAAACGAGTGAAACAACAAACAATCAGTTTTAGTCATTATAGAACTCAATTCAGACATCACTGCTTCTCTGTTTATGATTAATTTGCACTGTCAGTCGGCAAGGTTTTAAAGAAATTCTCCAGATATTTTAGTCGGATTACTATTCAGCTCATCATCAGTCGTGTCTTCGGTGCATATTCTTCTGGCCCTGGGTTGTAGAGAATTGAAAAAGATATTCTACTTAACTACTCATAGCACCCAACTTTAGAAGTTCCACTTAGGCCTGTTTCATATCATTTTCAGTGACCAAAACTTCAATAAATTCAATTATCTTTGATAATTTTTTAAAACGAATGTATTTTACAACAGGCTACTATATGCCTATTTAATCACCTATAGATTCGGTTGTACAGCTCCATAAATTGATATCGTCAAGAAAAAAATCTCCATTAGAAAGTCTTCATTTTTCTTTTGATGATTCAGTGAACTTTGTTCGTCTTTTTTTCAGAATTATCTTTTACTGAATGTGTTAATATCATTTAGATCAAAGTTACTGTGTGAGTCACTACGATGTTCGTGTGTGTATATACAAGTGGTCTGTGCAGTGTAACATTCATTACTAATTTCATTCGATCAATCATAATGAATAATGAAAATAATCATTGAATAACATAAATTTCAAATTAACTACTGTGTGGCGAACGAGAAGAATCTTATGTATTCGAATACAACAAAACAGAATCCCTTCGTTCTTGTTCATGGATGCTTAACCTCTAGATCGTTGAGAGGTGATCCATATTCTTTTATGTGAAACTTTGATCAGTTCACAATTTTGTACAACCTCCTTCCATTGCTTATAGTTGATAACTGCTTCACATGCGATATGATTGAACTACGCTGGTCACCGTTTCTCACTGTGACACAACCAACCGCATCTTGCAACTGAATTACATTGTGCAAAATTTAGACACAAATTAACTACGACAATTTTGTGGAAAGATTCGGGGACTGACGAAAAATTGGAATTGGCATGTGCTATATAGCTGAATAAATTATCTCACCAAGACAAATATGTTTATATACACCGTGTATCTGGCTGATTATTTTTCGAATATTTGAATGTTAAACTGAGTGTGCAGACTGTTAATTGACCATGTAATAAATGTGGATGAGTAGAACCGTGTGATAGGTTGATTAGTAAAAATGTTGCATTAATTCAGTGGTTCTGTTTTTTTAAAGATGCAAAAAAACTTTCGATGATTCTGATATGAAATATTCTTCAATTTTGACTTATATTATCATTATACTTGCTGTGAGTGTGACCACTCGCCTTTGAATAAGATAATCAGAATGATGACCCATTACTTCAATGTTTGGTTTCTTATGATGTTGTTATATCTTGTGACCGCCAATTAGGGAGCAGTGAATTATCGATCGGACCAAGGACGCGTAAAACACGTGCAAGCAGTCTAGAGTTCTGATTGGCCCTGTTTCTTGCCTAGCCCAGCCATTTGAGTCCAGAATACAAGTCTCAGCTTCTGTGATATGAATCATGTATTTCAAACATACTCTGTTTATATGCCAAGCAAGCAGACCACATCGTACCATAAAATTGAAGATAAAATCTGTACAATGTTCGGCCAAATGTGGCTGTGAATGTGGGAGGTATTGAATAATAGATAGGAAGTAAATCAAGAATGGAAAATCGTATAATAACGGTTTATAGGTTAAAATAAAGCTTATGATAAGAGAGACATGAATATTAATAGGTTAGTTAATTAACAATTATATGACAAAAATATACGCACAGTATTGGTCCATAAACAGATCCCAAAAAATTACCACTCATTATTCTTATCGGGACACAACAGATATAGATGTTGGTCTTCTAACAGATCGTGACTAAGACTTCGAATGTCGTTTTTTAGATTCGCACTGTAATTGAGCAGAGTAGTGTTGTTAATATTTTGATCTACAGTATTCTACGTACACAGTCTTCCGTTAAATTCTTATTATTTTCTGTTTATACTTGGTTATCAGGATGTCAATTCAGAATACTCCTGTATTTAATCACAGTGATCTGATAGTGTTTTCTTAAAATCCACATTAATTAGTTGTTTCGTGTGTAAAATCATTGAGGTGTTGTGAATAATTGTGAGAAATGAAGCTGGGATATTACTTGTAAATGCATTGTCCGAATGTTACTGAATGTTGAATATCTAATACCAGTTCAAACTCCCTGTTGCAAAATCGCAGTATCACGTCTGATTATGGATGACAGTGCAACGGAATCTTTAAATCGTTTACGTTTGTGAATACGTCTTTCCAACAGATGATCACTGTAAATTACAGAATTGCCTCGGTTTCCTGTAGTAAATTCCATCGACAATGAATTTCAAGATTCACATTTGCTGACACTCACTCAACCACATATCTCGAGTAAAGTAACTAAACTGTGAATGACTATTTGTAGACGCCTCACAATGATGATAACTGATTAAATGGACGGAACAGGAATATATGAATGGAGGTATCAGGCAGACTATATTTACACACTGTACGACAGTCACAATTGTTGTCCTCACTCGTATCATCACTCAATGCAAAACATAGTGTGTTTTTTGATTAAAAACAGAAATGAACGAGTGGTATTCAAAACTGATATTTCATCAACAAAATGTTCAATCGTCATGCTTCATTGAGATATTCATATGTTGTTGAAAGATGAAGCTAAGTTTTAAGACGAGAATCGAGTGCATGTGATTAGGTGGTATATAGTGTTTCATGATTGAACGTGAGAAAATGCGCTGAATATTTGGTCATTTGGTATATGTTGGTAGGTTGAAGTGCAGGACTGAGTCTTTAGATAGTGAAGATAATCGTCACTTATATAATGTTTGCTAGAACCACCTATTTGGTGTTTTCGCCTTCAAGTGATCAGTTTCTGATTCAATTCATCGATTTAAAACCGTTGCCTGTGAACATACTTTTATACAAACTATAATGACCAGGAATCACCGTATAGTAATGGAAAAATTTCGAGAATATAATATTGAATAGTATTCCTGATTTGCAAACTGGCAATGATATTGATAGGAGGTTGAAGTAATTCGCCTTGAGATGTCAAGTTGTATTTAATGTAAGAATTAAAGGAGTGATGCCCATTAAAGTACTAAGTTAGTGTAGTTAAGAATAATAATAGTTTTTACTGTATCAATACCAATGTGATTCAAGAAGGGTGAATGATTTATCCTGTCCGAAGTGTTGAATAATTCATGTGGGCCTGGCATTGCAACCGACACTACAAGATCACTAATTAACATTTTCCCCTATTTGATAAGTCCGAACAATTCCTCACTCAATAACACTCTACTGGTGATGACTTTGTTGAATTATCTGACAATTCTCCATCTGTAACTGAATGGTATAACTGAACGTCAGGCTACAAACAAACTTATACGAAAATAAATAAATAAACTGACAATCGAACGAATATTTGATTTTGAGTTGAGTAACAAGAACAAACCTAGAATAGTAGCACGGATACAAATCAATCGATCAGATTGGTAGTAATAACAATAATAATATTGATGGAGGAATTGTCATAACTTTTTTGAAGTCTGAATAATCGCATGTTGAATTGTAGGAAAGTTTTCGCCTCCGTTATTTTTTAAAAATTAATTTCAATATCAATATATATATATATATATCAAAGAAGCTTATTTTCTTGAACAATCTGATCTGCTTAATTCAACTGTTCCAGTCAACCTTTGTCAATATTCAATGAAAACATACAATTGGTCAACAGCAAAATGTATCTATCCACAAGGATGAGTTCACCTATCATAGTCTTATAACGAAAAGAAGAATTAAT